GTGATACATTTTATTTTTCAGGATTCACAGATGAATAGAAAGTTCTAAAGTTGCTGCATAAAATAATGACCATTAAAGCCACACGATATTATTCGAAAACTCAAATTAAACCTTTTTGACGTCATAAAAACTCAATCAGTACCTGATCTGTCAACTGTGCATTTGCATAAATTCTGTAGAAACCATTATAAAAAACAGAGTTGGGAACTAAATGACCAGAATGCAAAACTAAATCCCTCTGAAATGCCATTCTCAGAAAAAAAACTGTGATGGCACCTTTTCAAAAGGAACCAATATGTGCAATTGGAGTACTATTATGTACATTACAGGTACTAATATGCACCCTTTAGAGGTAAGTAAGGTACAAATGTGTACTATTGAATGGGTGTCGCTGCAGTGACAGCTTTTGTACCTGATTTCCTGAGAGTGTATGGAAGTAAGAAGTGTTGCAAACGTCATTTGGTGTCGACTTTAATCAACCACTGATCCAACAAACCAGCAGTATCCAGCTCAGAAACTCCTCGACTCGACACAGAAATGTCTGTGACAAGACCACCCAATGTACTTTTCTGTATTCATTTTTACCTGCATTTTGACTTATGAATTGCATTTTGTTGTTTTATGGTTGCTTTTAACATTTGATGTCCTTCCAGTTCCCTTCTACTGAATTTCTCTTTCATCGATCGCCTCTCTTTTGAGCAGGGTACTTCTGACATGTTGAAGTTTTTGATAAGTCTCATACGTGCCAGATTGGATTAATCGTTTCACCTGGGTTCGGTAGGATGTGATTCATGTAAATTATGTGTTTCCAAAGGCTCTTTCACACCAAACACCAGTGCGGTTTTCAATAGACGCTATGGATTCCTGTGGAGCTCTTCAGAACGGAGATGAGCATTCGCTTTGTAGATTCACTGGCACATCAACACAGAGTCTGTATTCTGTGCAATAATTAAATAAAACATTGAATAATAGATACAGGACTGAAGGTGCATTAGCCTTGCACCAACTACTGCTTTTGTTCAGTTCGATTATTTGCTTGAATAGACGCTTCATTGTGTTCGATGTGAAAGACCTCGAGAGTGTCGACTTTTCTGCTTGATACTAACACGGTTGGTTTTCTTTGGGTTTTCAGCTGCAGAAAAGGGAACGTTCGTGTCGATATTTTGTCCAGGTATTTTCCTCTTTATATTTACGCCGCATTCATCCTCACGTCTCATGCTTTTCTCTTCATTCGCACCCCAGCTCATGTTCCTTGTGTTTTTGTGAGGTCCTGTTGTTGTCATTTGAGGCCTTGAGCAAATTTAACCTCCACCTTTGCAAATTACCCATAATAATCCACTCGCTCTTAAACGCTTCCGTGAGCGAACGCACCCTTACGATCACAGAAACACGCTTGTGAAAAGAAGTGCACTTAAGCATGCTTTTATTGTGGAAATAATATGCTTTAACATAACATACTTAAGTGTGAACTGTTAATTGCAATTAAATTAAAATGTATTATTGTTTCATTTTATGTAAAATACAATTAGCTGAGTGCTTTTGACCCACTTAAGTTGGACTTAAGTACATCTTTATATGTAATTTCATAATGTCTTCTATTGTCTTTGAAATATGGTTAATGTACTGACACATATTTATGATCAACTAAAATATACTTTAATGTTAATTCTGTTGAAATT